CACCGGGAGTGGAGGGAGGGACAGGGGATGCAGGGAGGGATTGAGGGATGGAGAGAGAGGGAGGAGGGAGGAGGATGCAGGAGGGAGGGATGGAAGGAGACCAGGAGGGATGGGAAGTATGGAGGGAGGGATACAGGAGGGAGGGAGGGATGCAGGAGGGATACAGGAGGGAGGGATGCAGGAGGGAGGGAGGGATGCAGGAGGGAGGGATACAGGAGGGAGGGATGCAGGAGGGAGGGCTGCAGGAGGGATGCGGGAGGGAGGGAGGGATGCAGGAGGGAGGGAGGGATGCAGGAGGGAGGGATGCAGGAGGGAGGGATGCAGGAGGGAAGGAGGGATGCAGGAGGGAAGGAGGGATGCAGGAGGGAGGGAGGGTGGCCTGGCAGGACCCCGGAGGGCCCGGGGGTGCCGGAGGCGGCGCGGGCCGGGCCGGACCCTCGGCAGCCTCACCTTGTTGAGCCATTCCGCCCGCTCCACATCCGGGAAGCTGACCTGGGGACAGGGGGGACCCTGAGCCCGGGGGGGGGGGGGCACCGGGGACGCGGCCCCTCCCAGCCCCGTGCCTCAGTTTCCCCAACCTCCCGCTGCGACCCCGCTCAGCCCCCAACGAGTCCCCGTTCCCGGGGGGTCCCAAAAGTGGGGTCCCGGTGGGGGAGGAAGTCCCGGGAAAGGGGGTCCGGACCCCTCGGACAGCGCGGGGAGGGGCGGCACGGCCCCCCCTCGGACCGGGCAGGAAGCGGCCCCCCCGGGCCCGGTGAGTCACGGCACTGCCGGAAGGCCCGGGCGGTACCGGGGCTGTCCCCTCGCTGCGGGGATCGGAGCGCGGGGCCCCCGCCCGGGGCTCTCGGTGGGGCGGCGATCCCGGCCCCGGGGGTCCCGCCCGAGCAGGGACAGACCCCAAGGAACGGCCGGGACGCCCGGGGGTCTCTGGGGGTCCCGCCCGGGCGCTGCCGGGGGTCTCCAGCGGGGTGTGCGGTGCAGCAGAGAAGGGACCGGGGGTCCCGGGGGTCCCGGTGCGGGGGTGCGGTGCCTCGGGGTCCGCCCTGACGGGGACAACCCCAGCGGGGCTCGGTGCGGCGGATGCGCTGCGCCTCTCGGGGCTCCCCGGGGGTCCCACCGGAGCAGCAGAGCCCGGGGGGTGCGCGGGGGTCCCCGGGGGCGCCAAGCGGGGCTCAGAGCGGAGCAGAGCACGGGAACCCCCCCCGGGGGGCGCGGGGAGCTCCAGCGCAGCGGAGCCGGGGGAGCCTCCGGGGGCTCGGGGAGGCCGCAGCGCCCAGCCCGGGGGTCCCACCGGGGGAGAGGGGGCTGCGCTCCGCCAACCCCGCCGGTCGCAGCGCGGGGGATGCGGTTCCCGGTGCGGGGATCCCGCGCATCCCCCGAGCCCTTCCCGCGGGCGATAACGGAGCCGCGGGGCCCCATCCCGAGCTTACCCAGGCCGGCAGCTCCCCGCGGGCCGCGCCCAGCCCGGCGGCGGCGGCGCGCACGGCCGCCTCCTCGTCTCGGTGCAGCCGCTCGGCCGCGCGCATCCCGCGCTCCCGGGCGCGCCGCCGCCGCCGCCAGCCCGCGTAGAGCGCGAGCGCGAGCACCACGGCGCCCGCGCCCAGCCCCAGCAGCCCCGCGGCGTAAGCGGGGAGCGCCCAGAGCAGCCGCCGGCCCAGCGCGCCCAGAGCCGCCAGCCCGAGCCCGCTCCGCCGCTCCATCGCTCCCGCTCCGGTTCCGCTCCGGTTCCGCTCCCGCTCCGCCGCTCCCGCCCCGGCCGCGCCCCACGGGACGCACGCGGCGCTGATTGGCTGAGCGGCCCCGCCCGGGACACGCCCCCCCCGGCACGCACGCACCGCCTATTGGACGCGCGCCAGCAGCTGGCCGCGCCCACTGAGCGCGGGGCCAGCTGGCCACGCCCGCGCGCGGCGCTTATTGGAAGCCCGCCAACTCTTAGCCACGCCCCCCTGTGGTCACGTGTGGTTGACCACGCCCTTAACTCGATATGGGCGTGGTCACGGTGAGGGCGTGGCCGGTGTCACGTGATCCCCACAGCCGCGGCACGCCCCGGGTGTCCCGGTGTTCCCGTCCCGGTGTTCCCGTCCCGGTGTTCCCGTCCCGGTGTCCCCCCCGCTCCCCGGCCCTTCCCGGCGCCACCGGGACAGCCGGGCCCGTGCGGGTTTGGGGTTTTTTTTCCTTTGTTTCGTTTTAATAGCTGAAAACATTACAGGGCACGGGCAGCCCCGGTGCCACCCCCGGGACTCAGCCCCGCCGCTCAGTCCGTCCCCGGGGCTCCGGTGGGGGAACACCCACCACCCCCCAGCCCCGGTACCGGGAGGGGGTCCCGCACCCAGCGCGTCCATCCTCATCCCGCCGTTACCGGGGCTGGCGGGGCCGGGGGGATCCCCCCGGGGTGGGGGTCAGTGTGGCATGGCCGTTATCCTCATGCTCTGCGAGGCGATGGGGTAGGTGACCATGGGCGTGGTGGCGTGGCTCATGGTGATGCCACCGAGCGGCTGCGCCATGGACACGGCCACCGGCGCCACCGACACGGCCACGGGCGCCATGGACACGGGCGGCGGCGCCATGCCCTGGGCGATGGTCTGCGCCAGCGCCGCCGACAGCGGCGCGATCTCGGGGTTCATGGGGGGCGCGGCGTTGGCCGGAGGGGCGGCTTGAGCGCCGGCCGGGGCCACCAAATCCTGCTGGGTGACGGCTCGGGGCTGCAGGGCCTGGCTGCTGAGCGTGGTGTGCGTCTGGGCGATGCTGTGGTTGTAGTTGGTGACCGTCCCCACCGTGGGCGCCAGAGTCTGCTCGCTGGCCGTGGCCGTGGAGCTCAGCGTCATCACCTTGGCCTGGTTGCGGAACTGCGCGTTCTGCTCCAGCAGCACCTCGTTGGTGGCCAGCAGGTTGTTCACCTGCTTCTTGAGGTCCTCCACGCGCTTCCGCAGCAGCACGTTCTCCTCCTCCAGCAGCCGGTACTCCACGGCCCGCGGGCTGGCGAAGCCGTACTCGTAGCTCTCGTAGAGCCCCTCCGCTCTCCGCCGCTTCAGCACCGGCTCGTCGGGGTCGTAGAGGCCGTCGTAGGGCTCGTAACGGCGCCCACCGGGGCCCAGCCCCTGCTCGCGGCCCCGCGCCTCGTACTCGTAGTCCCGCTGCAGGTGCTGGAATTTACACTTGGCTCCCCGCTGGCAATCCCCCTTGAGGAAATCCCGGCAGATCGGCACCTCCTCCTTGCTGTTGGGCAAATCCGCCGGCGACAGCCCCAAGCCGGCGGCCACCTTCTGCCGCAGGCGCGGCGGCAGCTCGCCCGTCTTCTTGTAGCAATCCTCGTCCTCCTTGGTGCCGTGGATGAAGCGGCAGTTGAGGCGCACGCACTCCTTGTTCTGGAAGTCGTGGCAGAAGATGAACTCGTTCTTGCGGACGCCCAGGTTGGTCACCTCGGAGATGTCGGGGTGGCGGAAGCGGCAGCGCTTCCCCCTCTTGCAGACGTTGCGCAGGAAATCGCGGCAGATGTCGTCGGTGCCGGCGCCGGGCTCGTCGGGGCCGGCGCCGTTGGCGTAGCCGTCGCGGCCGTCGCGGTCGGGCATGGCGGAGGGAGGGAGGGAGGGAGGGAGGGGAGGAGGCTGCGGGGGGAGGGATGAGGG